CTGGGAGAAGACACCCAAGTCTCTTAATTCCTCCTGTGAACTTTGCATCATACCAAGCTGTCTGCCAGTCAGAGAACAGAGAACTGATGGTTCTAGCTGGGCTGCAGGGGATTTCCATTATTATGCCTCTCATTCTCTGTCCCAAAGTACCTCTCCTTATAGTCAGTCTTTCTGCTATATTTGAGACAAGTGTTGTTGTCTTAAATAAAAACTTACTTAACTATGAGCTCCTGGAAGGCAAGGAACCATACTGTATTCATCTCTGTTTTCTCTGTGTCTAACAGTGCCTGGCACTCTATAAATGCTTGCCAGATTGAAACGAACTGAAATGAAAACATACTGTTCACTGTCTAAAACTATGGAGCCTTCCCCATCTACAAGAGCATGAGGGAATTTCTTTGCAGAGGAGGATAACAAAGCCCAGCCAAGTGCACAGGGAGCTCGCCTCTCCCATCACTTCCTCCATCCCACTCCCAAAGGACTATAGGGGACTGGAAGGATCTCCTGTAGGCACAACTTCTGCCTTCTTTGTTTTATTAACCTTTCTAAGACCAACGGGGAAAGGTAAAACCTTCCAGGCAGTATCTTTCCATTTGGGTGGCTCATTTCATGTCTCCAGACCAACCTTGTGCAATTTGTGCAGAAAAGAAAGCCACACAGGGTTCCAGAAAGAACTTCAGAAGACATTTACATACCCTAACATCATTCAAGGTGTTTGCTACAGGCTCCTCCCTTCTCCACCTGAGTTTAATGAAAGATCTCTCCTCACCTGCACCCACATGAGCATATACAAGGAAGAAGCAGGGTGGAAACAGTCTGAGTCCATGGTGCTTTTTAGCAGAAGGCTCACAGAGGCCCTCACACTGGTCAAAGAAATTAAGATGTGCAGGAGTGGAGAGCAAGCTAGCCCAGTTACCTGCTTGAACATCTGGACCCTCTCTCCATGCCCCTGCAATTAAGTTCTTTTGCAATTTCTTCAGGAGGCAGTGTGAGGAGCATAGCCGCAGGGCCTGGGATTTTGGCAGCTGGAAAGGATCAGGGGCAAGCCCTGACTTTCAGCCACAAGGGGCAGCATATCACTAGTAGGATTTCTGGGGTACTTTAAAGTCACTGTACCCAGTACAGCCCATTGGACATTATATACAAAGGGAAACTGAACTCAAAGACTATGGGTTGCATTTAGCTGTAGCAGAAAGAGCACTGGATTGGGAGTCAGCAGTGAGGGATTCTGGCCCAGGCCAGATCAGTCAGCAGTGTGGCCTGAGCCAGTGGCATCTCTTCTCTGGTCTTCTGATTCCTAATTCAAGGACTAGATACTCTAGTCCTCTAACATGCCTTCCAGAACACGGAAGGTACGCAACACAAATTAAATGCTTGCATGCATGGACTTCTGAAACTCTATGTTCTCTACACCCCTCACAGGCCCACCTACAGGCCATCTAATTCGGATGATAATGGCCCTTCATAATCCTCCTTGTTTCCTGCTTCCCTCACACCCAGGTGCCCAGAAACTGGAATGTAGCCTCTCAAACTTCATTATGTGTTGACCTATTTCTCAAGAACTCACAAAAGCAGCCCACTAAGAATCCAGGTGCACAAGGCTTTCACAACTCCCCACCATGCTCGCCCCCAGACCCACGCCCACACCTGGTGTTCCTTTCTTCTTCCCTACAGCCCAGACTCTGTCCCCTCCTCCTAAGTCCTGCTGCAGGCTGACCCCTTTAAGAAGCCAGGATAGGCCAGGGATTTAGCTCAGTGGTTTCGCCGCCTGCTGTGCAAGCGCAAGGACCTGAGTTCGATCCCCCGGTACCAAAAACAAAACAAAACAAAACAAAACAAAAAGAAGCCGAGATAGGGGCCAGGGATTTAGCTCAGTGGTTCTGCTGCCTGCCTTGCAAGTGCAAGGACCTGAGTTCGATCCCCGGTACCAAAATATCAAAAACAAAAACAAAGAAAGAAGCACTGATAAACTGGCGCCATCCACACCACACCTGGTACTATTTCCTGTCCCTTCTGGACTTAACGCCTCAGGTGGCATTATATTTATCCACAGGTCAGTGTATATATATCTCAGGAACAATAGGCATAATGTACCTCTGGGACCTAAAAGCCCACAAGAGGGGGCTAAGGAAAGCCCCTAGCATGAAACCTACCACAGCTGCCATGCCCACAGAAAGGGGCTCCCGGGCTTCCCTAGGAAGAGAGGAAGGAGGAAGGCTAGAAACATTTATATATATCTTTTTTTAAGCAGTCTTAAAAGTGAGCCCAAGACCTTTACACTGAGCTACATCCCAAGTCCTTTTATATAGAGGCAGGGACTCCCTAAGTTGCTAAATCGCCCAGGCTGGGCTTGACCTTGTGAGTGATTTTAGGCGGCTGCCACCACCCCTGGCTTATACATATATTATAGTCGAGATCCTGCCTTAATGCCAGCCCACACTGGCCATTTTTAGGCTGCCACTGAGGGTGGGACCCCAAGCTGCAAGTGCTCTGGGCAAACCCCAGAACGCTTAGTGACTGAGAAGAAAGCATGACAGAGGTCACGGGCCACTGCTTCCTCCTCAGACCCAATAAATCCAATGCCCTTCAAGATGGTTCCATCATGAATTATCACAACAACGTCCACATCTCGGTTAACCACACCACTGAGGGAGAGCAGTGGTGTGGATAATGCAAAAGTCATTTCTTTTTGGCACTGGAAAGCATAATAATGAATTTTTACCAACACCTAATTATGTTCTACCGGAGATAATATTAGGAAAAAAAAGCACTTGCCTTTTCTGAGCACATATGAAGTGATGATAGCTGGAAGAGGAACCAGGCTTTAAATTAAACATTCATTATGAGGACTTACGGAGTGATAATCCACTCTCAAAAAATATTCACTCCACAAACATTCTGGGGTGGGGAGAGGGTGGCCTGAAGTGGGGGGCAGTCACTCTTGTAGGTGCTGGGGGCAGAGATGAGAGAAGGAAGCTACAAATATAAAAAGGAGTCTTGGTATATCCACCACCGTAAGGAGCATTACACCGCATGCAGGAGGTGGTGGTAAACATCTCACTATGATTAAGACAGAGGCTGTCGAAGTACAAGCAATTTGCTCTGGAAGCCCAAAGGAAGTAAATGGAAACGATCAATCTTTGGGGAAGCCGGGAAGACTTCCTTCAGAGAGTGGTCTTTGTGGGGCACCTGGAAGGTAAATCCAGGAGGAGGCCTGGGGTGGTGGGGCAAGCCTGTAACCCCAGCATTCTGACAGGCTGAGGCAGGAGGGTCAGATGCCAAGTTCAAGTCCAGCCTGGCCAGGTTAGTAACTTGCCTCAAAATTAAAAAAAAAAAAAAAAAAAAAAGCTCTGGGGCTGTAGCTCAGTGCCAAATCCCTGAGTTCAATCCCCAGTACCACAAAAGGGGGTGAGCTGTCCAGGGAACGTCAAGGTGGTGTGTGAAAAGGTGCCCTAAACTTGTTATGCTGGGATAAGAACTCAGAAAGGAAGGAGACCCTCCTGGCTGCCCCCTCAGAGCAAAAGCAAATGTCGCTGTCGACCCCAAAACCCCTTCTGATGTGCTCCCTGCTCGGCTCTCTACAAGACAGTTCTTGCCTAGGTTCTCCTGAAACAGGTTCCTTTCCACCCGCCACTCCTGAGAGCTAAAAAAACTCATCCTGGGAAAAAATTCCTGTCCCTGTCTACAGCAGTCTATTTTCACCCTGAAACCTACTCAACTCAGGGCTAGTTTCTCTGGGATTCCCAGACCTGGGACTTTCTCTACAGGACCATTGTTCTGTTTGGGGCCTTCCTCTAAGCCAGCAGCCCCTCCAAGTCCTTCCAATTTGCTGCTGTTTTAAAACCGAAGGGAAAAGAAGATGGAGAGGGGCAGCTCTCTCTGCCTCCCTGCTGCCTCTTTCCCCAGCTCTGTGGTTAACGCTGGGCAATGATCCTACAAGCCTGGAATTTGAGGAATTTCCTGCCCCGTGTTCCCTGGAAGAGCTGAGAGAGACCTAGCAATTAGGCCTGGAGTTTCCACTCCTGCCTGCCTCCACCCAAATGAAGTGCCCCAGTGTAAAGCTGGGTAGAGGGGGCCGGCATGGAGCTCAGGCTGGATGCCTGCACCAATGTCACCCCACAAAGTCACCCCCATCGCCACACACCCCTGCCCCTCTCCCACACACCCAAAGTCTCTGCCAAAATGCTCCTTTGCCTGCCTGCCTGAGTGTATTAATAATAATACAGGACCTATGCAGAGTTCATTCCTTCCTGAATCCATCTTGTCTTTCTGCAATTGTCTAAGGATAACTCAACGCCTTGCCTTTTTTTTTCTTTGCCTTCCGGTTCTCCTCCCGCTCTACAGAGGCTAAGCTATGTCTCAGCTCTTTATTCCTTCTCCCTTCAGTCTGTTGTTCATTCTTCTCTATTTTGCCCCTTCTCTCTCGTTTCCCTTTTGCCTAGATGTTCCCCATGTACTGATGTCTTTGATTTGTGCCCAGGTTGGGAGTCTGTTCCAGCCAAGGACCAGAGCCTCTGGGGCTCTACTTCTTTGGTTCGGGGGAGACACCTGGGGATAGGAATGGGAAGATGCTCCAGGGCTGGCTAAATGACCCTTACGTAACTTCTATGCTGTAGCAGCCACAACAGCAGAAGCAAATTTCTCTTTCTAATTACGTTTTGTTCAGGCTAATATTAAAATCGGTTCATATTCTCACATGACACATCAATCGATGGCTGGATACCAGGTGCTGGGGCAAAAGCAAACTGGGATTTAAACACTTGCCACTTGTTCTAAAGCCAGCCCAGTGGAGCCAACAGCAGAGCCCCCTGGGAAGGCAGCATCTGCATGGCCTTGAGGAGGGATGGGTTCCTGGCCCCTCCACCCTTGACCTTTGTCCTCCAGGGCTCCCTGCTGTCTAGCTGTGTTTGATTTCTGGTCTAGTCGTCCTGTTCTTGATACTCTTCAACAATGTCCCATGCTATGTCTGGTTTTCACTTTCCCTCTATCGAGGGACATACCTGAGTCTTGTCTTCTGAAAGTCCCAGAGAGGCTGCTCATATCACCCACCGCATCACACTCCATTCTCGGGTGGACCCCGATTCAGCCCTGGATGTCTACGGCTACACTGCCCACAGGTAGCTCAGGATCTCACCAGCGTCCCACACCTCAGCTTCACACACTTGCTGCTCCTCTCCTCCTCAAGCAGTAAGCTGGGACGCTGGGGAGGGCTAGCAGGCCTACAGCCTTCCTCAAAGGCTTCCTCTCAGCCATTCACTCTTGGCAATTCTGACCCAGAGTGAAACCAAAATGGCAGCTTCCTGCTTCCCCTTCCTTCTCGCCCCCGGTCCGGTCCTTCCTCTCAGCACATTCTACCAGCCTCGGAAGGACAAGGCTGTGGTTAAAAATGAAATCAAAGCTCTTCCCTGACTTCAGTGGAAATGTTCACTATCTCCAGATTTCCCTCAACTCTCAAGATATTTGCCTTCTGAGGTTGAGAGTTGCTAGTTGCCAACTCCCTCCTCCTCCCCCTTCACATTCCCTTTAAACAAAGCTTTTCTGTCAGGTCTTTGACCCTGATGAAAATTTTTAACTGGTATCTTCCCCCCCACCCCCACCCCGCTTCTTTTCCCCCCTTCCTCTCTAATTCTGAGGATCTTTTGTCTTCTAAGGAAAAGAACTAAGGGGTTGAGAGAGCTGCTTCTTTTTTTTTTTTTTTTTGCCCTTGTAAGTAATTGGGGAAGGTTTTTTTCTAAAATGATAGAAAGGGAGAAAACTCATTCTCGAAATTTATTTCAGTAGAAATAGAATGGAGAAAGACCTTGAAATTGTGAAAAGGAAAAGGAGATCTCTGAAAGGGAAAGAGAGAGCTGGGGATGTAGCTCAGTGGTAGACTGCTGCTTAGGGTTTCCTCCCAGGCACTACAAAGGATAGAAGGAAGGGAAGAAAGGGCGGGAAGGAGGATAACAAAATGAGGGAGGACTGCAAAGACCTTGAGGGAAGGAGATAGAAAAGTTAGGAGAAGAGATGCCCATTATCTCGGTTTTGTATGTCTTACTCAACTAGAGGTAAGATAAAACTGGAATCTCACTCTGAGCAGTAAAGGCAGCTCACAGGGACTCGGCACACTGACAGTGCACACACACTCAGAGAGCCAAGCATATATTAAGAGGTCAGTGAATGTGAGCCTCAACAAAACACAGTTATTTTTCCTTTTTATTCTCTCACAGGAGAAAATGAAAGGCAATGACAAAGCAACAAAGAACTCAGGGTCAGCCTCACCGGAGTTAGTGTAGTTTGAGCAAGGCTGAGAAACAGCAACCTCACTTGTCTTATAACCCTTCTGTCTTCCCTAGGGTTTCGGTCCCTCGTTTGGCTAGGCAAAACTGATCCAATGCAAGGCTGTCAGCTCTCAATTACTCACACACAGGTCCCTCACTTTGGAGATTATCCACGGAAAAATCTTAATCCCACGCAAGCTGAGTCCTTTTGCCACCCAGGATATATCGGCTGTCAGTCTTGGTGTGAGTAGGGAATTAGAAACTCATTTAAACAGCAGTCCAAGTCAACTCTAATAGGCAAGGTAAATCTGATTATTATCATCATCATCATCACCATGATGCATTCCCAAGTTTGAAAAAAAAAAGGTTAAAAAACAAATCAAGGGCTGGGTGTTATCCATGAGAAACTTCCCCTTCTATTGGGTCAGCTGGGTGTTAACGGTATTTATAGGCAGCCTTTAATCTGAACAGGTCTCTGCAGCCTCTGGACCATTTTTACAGGACTTCTAAAGGAAGACATTATTTGTTTACTTAAAATAGTAGCTGACATTTTCATTGCTTTTTTACTATTTGCCAGGCACTATGAAGTATGTTTTACATAACAACTCAATTTAATTACTTTGTTTTATAAAAGACTTGAAGCAATGTATATGGACAATGATATAAATGTACTTGGTCCATGATACAAAAAATCAATCAAAAGAAGAAATTAAACATTGCATGGAGATGGTAGGAAACCAGAGAAAGAGAATATGGGCAGGAGAAATACACTGAGATGGGAGTAGATCTAATATACTATATATAGGCTGTAAGATCCTAACTGCTGCACCAGAAATGAACTGCCAGGTTCATCCTTGAGCTTCCAAGCAGCCAATGCAAAAAGGAAAAATTCAAAATTCATGACACAATTTATAAGACCTATAAAATAAAAAGGAATCAATGGCTTAGGAAAAGTACCACTGCAGAACTTTCACCAAAGGCTGCTCCTCAGAGGACACTGTGATGCTTTGAACCTTATCCTAGTCAACATCCCTACCATAAACAATGAGAAGTTTGAGAGGGCTGCTCCTTAGAACATTCCTCAAGGCAGGCTGGTGGCACTGTGCCAAATGCTCAGCTCAGTAAAAGCAGTTCTTAAAAGGGCTAAAACCATTTGGTCTCAGTTCGAGACTCTCTGACTGTCTGGCTTAGTCTAAGGATAAAGCTGAGAGAATCTGGAGGGAAGGACTGGAGGTGGGTGACAACTGTGGGAGGGAGAGTGGCCGACATAAAACAGGACCCTTCTGACTTAGCTGCTTTAGCACCCAGCTCAGAGCTGCATCCTGAGATGACAGGGAAAAAGGACATCATAGCCCTTTCTGATATCCATGATGTCTTGGGAGGTGTCTCCAGGTAGAGGGAGGCAGCAGTCAAAGGATTATTTCCCTGAGGAGATGAGGTAAGGGACCAGCTAGCTACTTCGATGTCTGGGGTGGGATTCAGGTACCTGAGTGAGGATAATTTTGAAAAGAAGAAAGTACTTTGCCATCATATCTATATTCTGCATGGTATACCTAACCCCAAAAATATCAGTTTAGCTTTTGGCCATCTTGAGGTTTGAGGATTAGCCTGGAAAAAGCCTAAGAAGCATTCACAGAGGAATTAGAGGTGGCACTGAACACAGTTAAGCAGCCCCAAAAGAGCTCCAGACCAGAAGTCCTCTCCCTCTGGAGGAACAGGCCAAAGGGCGATAGACACCCAGGGAAAGAGCCAGGTATGGAGTCACAGCTCCATTATCCATCGGGGACTCGGTGTCCAAGAGCTCTCCCATGTATCTGCCCTCAGCCTCTCTCCCCCTGCAGATACCAGGTTTCTCTTAATAGCGAGGGAGAGAAAGCTTGTGCAACCTTCCTCCAAGGAGCTGGGGCCAGAGTGAGGAGGACAGTCCCCAGTGAAAGCAGGATGACATGGAGGGCTGGGGTCCCCAGCTGCTTCTCTGAAATCCTCCGTCTTGAACAAGGGAAAGGAGCAAGAGGTGGGAGAAGGCAGAGGTACAAGCAGGCCGGAATCTCAGGCCCAGTCCCCTGACAATGGGCAGGAGTGTGGAACTTGCAGCCTGTTACTTAATTATCTCTGAATGGTTTTTGTTCCTCGCTTTAAACATTTACCCCTATTGGGTTTTCACGGCTTCACAAGCTCTCTATCTCCTTTTCTTTGCCGTTGCCATAGCAACAACTCCAGGCCTACAACTGCTCTCTGATTTTAAATAAAAGTTGAGGTTTTTCTCTCTCTCCCTCTCTCCTCCCCCTCCCTTTTCTCTCTTACCAGGGATGAGTCTTCTCTCTCATCTCCTCCTTCCTTTCACCTTCCTCTCTGCTCTCCTCTTCCCCCACCCAGCTGTTTCCTTATCATGCCCTCCTCTCACTTCCTCCCTCCACCTGCCTCCTCTCTAAGCCCTCTCCCGTATCTTTGGGCTTCCAAGCTAGTCCTAATCCCCTGGTTACCATGACAGCAAGAGGGGGGTCCTTAGGAGGGACAGGGGCAGAGGTGGAAAGATAAGAGCCCATCTGGGGAAGGTGGGAGATCTGCTGACAGACCCAGGAACAGCATTACCCTATATTCTCTGGAGACCACCACCTTCCTCTCCAAGCCTCAAATTTTCCAGCAATTAGTGTACAGTAGATTCCTTGTGTCACTCCCAACCTCAACAGGAGAAAGGACTTTTACCCGAGCACTGGGGAAGGCAGGGAGATCTGAGGAGAGACATGAAGGAAGTATCCTTCCAATGTGCGCTGGGTGGCCAAGACAGAGGAGGCTGATGTGCAGTGCTAGTCCCTCTCTGGGGCAGTGAGTCACGAACGGACCCTCTAGGTCCTGGCTTTTGTTTTTGACAGTCAGAGGTTGGATAAATCTGTGATTCTCCAACTAGACTCTAGGGTCCCCTAGGCCTGGCTGCAGAGAAGTCCAAGCAGCTGCTGGGCGTAGGAGGTATGTTTGAGGAGAGAGAACTAGAGGAGGAGCAGGCATTCAGACAGGACGCTGTCCTCGGTGGCATCAGGAGGACTTGGCTTTTACCTGCCTGGACCAGAGATGTGCTGGATCTTCCAACAATCCTCACCACAAACTTTGTTCCCAGAGGAAGTCAGAGCCTCCACCCATCCCACCTAATCATCCAGGTCACTTTCTTTGCCACCTGCTTCTTTCCAGGCCCAAATTTTGGACAGACAGGCAAGTCATGGCTTATGTGGAAACTTTATCATTTTTAAAATTAATGCACGTGTGCTGTACATAATGTTTACACTCCTTGTGTGCAGTTGGTACATGCACATAACACAACTTAATTCCTTTTTTATCGCCTTTCCCTCCCCTCCCTCCATTTTTATTTATTTATTTTTTGACACAGGGGATCAAACTCACAACCTTGCAAGGCAGGCACGGTGCTGCTGAGCTAAATCCCCAGCCCTCCCTCTATCTTTTGATATCCTTCCCATTTGAAAAAGCACATTATCTATCTCCCTAATTTCTATTGCCTATCTTTTATTTTGTTTTTTATTTGCAATTTGGGTTTTAAATATAAGAAAAACCATGCACCATTTAAGCTTGTGTGTCTCATTCATTTCACTTAACATTATGGTCTCAAGGTACAGTACTATGGAAATCAACATGGAGATTCCTCAAAAAACTAAGTAGAAATTCCATTTGACCCAGATATTCCCCTTCTAGATAACTTCCTGAAACCATTAAAGACATCATATTACAGTGATTCATGCACACTTATGTTTATAGCAGCACAATTCAAAATAGCTAAATCTTGGAAGAAGCCTGTATTTCCATCAACAGATGAATGAATAAAGAAAATATGGTATTTATACACACAATGGAGTACTACTCTGCCATAAAGAAAGATAAACTTGAGTCATTTGTAGGAAATCTTATCATTTCTAAAATGGGATAGAAATCAAAAGTTCCACCTCAAAGTAGTTCCACCTAAATTCATAATTATCTCTGAATTTTACCAGATGTGGGTCAAGGTTAAATATATAGGTAAAGAGTTAGACATAGTGGTGCATGTTTGCAATCCCAGAACTCTGGGAGGCTGAGGCAAGAGGTTCGAAAGTTCAACCCCAGCTTGGGCAACTCAGCAATCTGGTGAGACTCTGACTCTAAATACACACATAACTGGGAACATAACTCAGAGAGAAGGCCCTGAGTTTGATCCTCAGTATGCAGACACACACACACAGACACACACCCACACACAACAATGACAACAATTTCAACAATTTGGCATTTAG